TTATAGGAATAGTGCATCGACCTGATCAATATTTTCCAATACACATAGAGTATATGGCGTTTCTGAAAGCGTCGGTGAAACTAACTAAGCATCGATTATACTTACTTACTTACTTACTTATCTTCACGCACAATCCCTGACGGGGTAGCCAGAGAGAACAGATCGCCAAGTGTCACGATCCTTACAAACCTCTTTCGCTTCTTTCAAATTCATTATCTTCTTCATGCATGCACGTCTAGGTATCCGAGTACTCTTGACCCTACCCTCTTCGAGCAATTTGCTCACATGGTCTTCGAAAGTATATTCGATTATGGTGTATTAAATTAAAGAAACTGGTCGATTAAATTCCAATAAATTAAAGAACAGTTGATACAGTTAGTTAAACCGTGTATTCGAAGCATTATAGGATGCCCTCTTAACCATCTATTAACAAAGTCGGCAACTTACAAATAGCTAAAAGCTTTCAGATTCGTAGAAAATGCGACACCACAAGTAAGTATACGCGGAAACAGAAAACTGATTTGCCTAAGCAATAATATAATAATTATAATTACTTGGGAACCATATCTGCAGTGCTTTAATAATACTGTTGTAATAAACATATTCCTCTGAATTTTTAAACGTTATTAATATTGTGGTTAAACTGTGGTTTAATGTAATAAAACAAAGGAAATAATACTAATTTGTGTTTTAACTGTCATTCTATTTTTGTTAAGTTTTTATAAAAGAAATGTATTTTATAACTGGTGATAAATAAATACGCCTTATTTTAAAACTAACACCGGTTTCAACGTAAAGCTTCGTCCACAGGGATTACGAAGTTAACAAAGTATTTAAATGATGTTTGCCGAATTGCAGGTAGTGCCCTCAATAGCTATTGGTACACTAGAATCGGGATATAGGCGTAATTTTTATTTTTATTTTAAAAATTACATATATTTATTTATTTATTTATACACTTTATTGTACTAAAGGTACAAACGGCGGACTTAATGCCATATGGCATTTTCTACCAGCCAACCGGAAAGTTAGTGAGAGATGTGTGTACTGCAGTGGGCTATATTATATATATATATATATATATATATATATATATATATATATATATATATATATATATATATATATATATATATATAATATATATATTATATATTTTAGAAAACCATTTTTATTCTTTTTCTTGTGCGACGTACAGTCAATGCCGGTAAACGCTGATGATAGAAACATCATCTATACAAATAAATAAAATTGAAGTGTCTGTTTGTAATGTCGAAATAACAGCTTTTTACTATATGCATATGAAAGTATAATACGGTACTTATAACAAAAACACGATTTTTAAAATTTTTGTCTGTCTGTCTTTCTGTCTGTCTGTTTGTTCCGGATTATCCCCGAAATGACTGGACCAATTTTGACGGGACTTTCACTGGCAGATTTCAGAGGCTACTTTTGTTGTAGAAAAAGAATTAAGGTTCCGCGCAAACCTAAATTACACGCGGTCGAACTCGCGGGGAACAGTTAGTATATTTATTTATTATGTATAGAGCATGTTTCTTGTGAACTTTTAGAGAATGCTTTTTTACTTGCCATAATTCGGAAGCGGGAAAGAATTTAAATTCATTCCATTAAGTGATTCGCGAGGTAACCTCTCCCTAGGAGAGGTTGATGTCCAGCAGTAGATTTTAAGTAATGAAAAGTGAAGATTTATTTTGTTTTTCTTTAATATAGTTCGATAGTCGTTAGTAATTTCAAACAAGGTTAATGGTTAAAACAGGGATTAAAAAACCCGACTGCGTTAAAAAAAAGAAAAAAAAAACTGTATTCCACTTTCACAACTAAGACGAATATAACAAAATCACATATATTTAAATCCATTACGCCGTTTAGGCTACAGAGCGTGCCGAAGAAATAAGACTTATATACACTCGAAAAACAATATAATATGCCGTTTTTTGACCTGTGACAATGTTAAGCGTGATTCACGAATTCAAATTTAGAAAACTCGAAAAATATTATTCTTTGTGTAAAGCCTCAATAGAAAACATTTGGCATAGTGGTAGAGCCACTCAGCAGCTTTTGCTGTCGCACGGATGGGCCGGCTCGAACCGGGGTGGTACCACGACCTCACAGAAAACCAGCGTGAAGTAGAGGTTTACCTCTACGTTTCGCTTGGTGAGTGCAGGTGGCCGGAGGCCCTTTTTACTGGAAATAAGGCATTCCGTCGTAGTTCCCACGGGTGACAACGCATCTACATCTTGATTTGTAATTGAGGATAGATGCAGATGTCTATGGGCCGCAGCAACCACTTACCATCAGGTGGACTGTGTGCTCGTTTGTCACCTTTATCCTATAAAAGAAAAGCACAGAATGGGTCAGCTCGAACAGGGAAGGACCACGCTCTCACAGAATACCAGCATAAATTGGCAGCTTGACGCTGCTGTGTTTCGTATGGCGAGTGTAGTAGAGAACCGGTGACCCATATTACTGGAAAAGAGGCATTCCCTCTTAGTCCTCACGGGTGACGACGCTTCTACATTTTGATTCTTTATTGAGGATAAATATAGATGTCTATGGGTCACAGCAACCACTTGCTATCAGGTGGACTGTGTGCTCGTTTGTCACCCTTATTCTATAAAAAAACCGGCCAAGTGCGAGTCGGTCTCGCGCACCGAGGGTTCCGAACAAATCCGTAGGTATACAAGTTTAAAATTATTAAAAATATTTTTATTATATAATGTAACTAAAAACTTATGCTTTTCGCAATTTTTCCTTTATCTGTGCTATAAAACGTTGCTTCGTACCAAATTTCAAGATTCTGAGTTCACGGGAAGTGCCCTGTAGGTTGTGATTCCCTTGCGTATGTCGAAAATTTCCGGCATAAACGGCTGTATCCTTTGATTGCGTTAGCTTAGAAGTTTGATTTTTTCACAGCTCTAAGGGACAGTAGACTTGAGTATTTGATATGAATTTCAGCTTGATACCTCCACGCGTTCCTGAGAAAAAGGGTCTTGACAGACAGACAGACTGACAGACAGACGGACATCAAAGTAATCCTATAAGGGTTTCGTTTTTTCCTTTTGAGGTACGGAACCCTAAAAAGGAGTGTGGATCATGGCATCACTATTGATATTACCTAGGTAGGTAGTGTTTGTCTGGGTTGGTACTATCCCGTCACCTATTTCTGCTACCTTGTAGCAGTACTTGCGCTACTGAATTCCGGTCAGAAGGATATACATCGTGTAGAGAGCCAGTATGATGACAGGATGTGAGAAGTTCCATATTAGTTCTCATGGGTAACAACGCATTTGTTTGTAATTGGCTGAAGGAGTCCACGGACAGCAGTGGTCACTTACCATCAGGTGGACTGTAATTAAAACTAGGGATGTTAATCGATGGCGAAATAGTCGATTAGTTGATAATCGATTATTTCAATTGTGTCGATATCAATTAATCGGCTAAACACAATAATTATATCGATTAATCGAAGAAAAGTTCTGGGCTTTTCGTTAAAGTAGATTAGATAGATGATGCGGTGTGTGAAATACTGTATTCTTGGTAAATTTAAACAAGAAAATTATCCAATAACTAAAATGAACAAAATTTAAAAAAAAATTATTATATTTATTTATTGAATTTCAATCAATATTTCCAAAATATTAACATAAAAAGATGAGAACCGGTTAGCTTATTTCTCATTTCAGTTACGATCACGCCAGCCTCTGAAAACAGTCTTTCAGAAGTCACCGATGTTGAAATAATTGACAAGTGTTTAATCGTCGCTTTTTAATCAATGAAGTGTCACTCAAATTGCAACAAAGAAAATTTCTAAACTAAAACCACCTATAAACAACAAAACCAACAAGCAAAATCACAGATTGTTATTGTCGAATGAAACGTCTTTTTTTTTTGCCTACTTGAAATGATAAAGATGTTGATCATACAGCTAATGTTATCAATTTTATCTAACATCGTGAAATTGGTCATACAACTAATGTTATCAATTTATCTAATATCGCGAAATATCGATTAATTAGCATAAAATAATCGATATAATCTATTATTTCAATTTTAGAATAATCGATCGAGTTGCAAAAATTTAATTTCTAATAAAAAGTAAAATAAAATAAAAACAAGTCTAAAAAGAAATATTTATGCCAAGTCAATTGAAATATCATTTATCAATATACAAAGGCTGGTTATTAGTAAAGGCGATTCTATTATCTGTAATGTCAGTGCTGTTAAATTAGGTTTTACAGCTCCATGCGAAGAGAAAGGGATCTACATCATACACACCAGCCAAAAATATTACTCTCTTTTGAACTCCACTGCAGTGTGGAAAAACTAAAATTATCTTGCGGGAGTACATGGACACATTGCAATACTAGCCGGCACATTATTGCGTCTCGTAGCATATGCGTTGTGTCTACAGTGACTCGTACTATGGGACAATCTACGACTTAAATAGAGATCAAATATGTTTCACTAGCATTGTGCAATAATTAATAAAAAATATAAATCCTATTTTTTGTACTTTTAAACTGTTAGTAAACGAAAGGCTTATCTAAGTGTACTTAAAGTAAATAATACAAAAGATTTCAGAAATATGCTTTTCTTGACCCTGCGTTAACTCACATTAACATAGTCACAGAGGTACCAAGTTTTGTCTCGGCCGGCTTGCGTGAGTACCTGCGGCGGCGGCTAGGGCGGGCGGAAGCTGCGTCCTGCGTCGCATCCCGCCTTATTGCAGTCGCTTTTGCCCCCCTACCCGCCCGGCTATCCTCCCTCCCCCCTACCCGCGCCGCACCACTCGCCGACACACTGGGCGCGTGCGCCCGCCGGCCGGCGACTCAGTTCACCGCCGCGCCGCGACAAAACTGCACGTGCGTACATGACCAAACGCGGCGTTTAAAAACGATCGAACGCGTTCCACCAATTTTTACTATAGTGATACGAGAGGGCAACCTCTCGCAGCCAGCAAGATTGCTTCACAAGTGGAAATGCCTTCGAGCCTCTTCGGCGAACTGGGCGGCGGTGGCCTCGTCGAAGACCAGCGCGCTTTCCAGCTCGCTCTCGAGCTTAGCATGCTGAGTTTGGGCGAGACTCTGCCTACGACGAATTCCCTGTCAAGCCCGATTGGATTCGCGCCACCGCCCGACGACCGTGCTAAGAAGTCGCAAAACATGACCGAATGCGTGCCGGTGCCTTCTTCGGAGCACGTCGCAGAGATCGTCGGCAGACAAGGTACCGTATCAGGGTTGCTTTTGAGGTTAGGAAGCGATGCCGGGCGAGATTCGCCTTCGCCACCCTTACATAAGGGCGCACGTGTCGCACTGGCTCGCTTAGGTTATATTCGATCATACGACACCCTCGCAGCGACTCCGCATCAATAACAATTCACAGTTACTTTTTGTTTGTTTACCCTCTCTAAAATAATGTCGAATGTTGAGAGTTTCTATCGTTCGCCACGTGAGAATATAATTAAGTTTAATTTATACATAATAAAACATTTTTTTAAGGTTTAATATAAATAAGTTGCTTATAAAAAATTGATAAGTATCTTAAAATGTAGAATATAAACATTCTTATCTTCTATCTAATTTCTTGCTTCCAAACGTAACGTTTCGAATCTGTTTATACGTAAAAAAAACATTGGATATAATTAAGAGTTAGAATTCGACAAAAAATTATACCCGAGGGATGTTCGCTTTCCAAGCGAGGGTTGCGTAAAAAATTCCGACAAAGCGCTAAGAACGAGCCTTATCTGAGACTAATTTCTCAAAATGCGCACCGGATTTGCAAAAAAAAAACATTCAAGTCTCATTTTCTTTTAACTTGCACGTTGCACGTTTCCGCCCCAAGTATCATCTCGTCTATTTTGAACGTTTCTATGTTGTATCAGTCAGTGGAGTATTTATGTTGGTAGATATTGAATGATTAGAATTGTCTTGTAAGAACCATGTTTTTCTTTAGGTGTTATATTTTTCTTCATTTCTTTTTTAATTTGTATACCTATCTCATTGTAAATATTCGTCATTACAAAATTAGTGGTTAATTTTGAATTTCGTGTCGAATGGAACCAATTTTTTACGGTTGTTATCGCGTTTAATTAATTTATTTCATTATGCCGACGTTCTACGGCGTAAAAAATGGTTCCATTTAATATGTAGTGTGCGTCAATATAATAAAATATAATTTATTGTTATTCATAAGAAACAATTTAAGTAATAAAATGTATTTATATTTGGGTAAGGTGAGCATGGTAGATAATTTTTTTTTAATTCATTGCTTATCAGGTTCTGTCGTCGGCCCCCACAACAATACGACTTAGACAGTTAACAGTATCAAAATAATGAAGGTCACGCATATTCTACTTAAAGCTAGGGTTGCCAGGCTAATACTTAAAAATTATTTCCAGTATAAGTACCGGAAAAACTATTATTTATGAAAACCAGGATTTTCACGCCTTAGTTGAATAAAATACTATAACGGCTTTCATTGGCGTAAGTCAGTTGGTTTTTTTTTACTTATGTGCCTTAAAGCATCATCTTTAATTAAAAATAAACATTTTTTCAAGGCGATGATGATGAAACGTTATAATAGATGAAAAAAATATTAATTACGTTTTTGCTTCAATTTCTAATGTTCAGATTATTTATGTAGATGCACAGTGTGTAGACACATGTTTTAACGTTTGTATATAAATTTTGTTTTCTACCGACCAAGCATTTAAGCCATTTGGCAACCCTACGGCGTATGTTGTTGTAGGTTGTAGCTACGACTGTAATGCCTACTACATAAAATGTACGATATAGGTAATTAGTTTAGTAGGCGTCGTACATAAATTTCGGGATATCTTTGAATTGAGCCATCCGTCACACGTTGCCGGATAGGATCAGGTACAACTATTGTTGTAGGTGACATTGTACTGGGCTGTGTGTAGAATAATGATAAAATAAAAATATAATATATAGTTTTAACGGCAAAAGTGGTAATTATTAGTATGATCACTTTTGCCATTAAGTAATGGTCATTATTTATATTAAAAAGATTATTGTTAGTATGATGAATATGAGTATGACTATAATAAGTTAAAATTGAACGTATGTCAGTTATTTGGATTTTCCGCCATTTTTTTATAGAATAGGGGTGACAATGACAAACGAGCACACAGTCCACCTGATGGTAAGTGGATACTGTGGCCCATAGACATTTATTACTACTACATTTATCTGCAGATGTGTTGTCACCCCTAAGGACTAAGATGGAGTGCCTCGTTTCCATTTAAAAGGGTGTCCGGTTCTCTACACTCGCCATACGTAACACAACAGCATTAGGCTATTTTACGCTGGTATTCTGTGAGAGCGTGATCCCACCCCGGTCGAGCCGACCCATTTGTCCTACAAACATAATATAGCTGCAGCATGGTAGTACCGTTTTTACTAGGTACCGATTGTACTAGGAGCTAGGACTTTTTTGTCTAGGTGTCCGTCTGGTGGGTATCGCTCTAGTATAGAGCAGCGATTCCTAAACTGGGTTCCGCGGAATCTAAGGGTTCCGTGGAAAAGTTACCAGGGTTCCGCGAAATCATTTGTTTTGCTTGTTAAATAATTTCACAATTAGTTATAAATATTTTGAATTGGCGCAAAATATGTGATGAGAAGAACCTATTACTGTTATGTAGATACGTAGGAAGCAGAAAAAATTATACTATAATATTTCAATTGCACTGTCTATGATAACGTAGTCATTTAATGTGGGGTCCCATAAAAAAAGGAATTTGATGAGTGTTCCAGACCTAACTTAAAAGTTTGGGAACCCCTGGTATAGAATTTTAGTTCTCAGATGTGACAATGATTGCACCCGTAGACTTTAAAGTTGATTAAAGTAGGCTAGAATGAAAGGTGGCTACTACAGCCCATGGCTTTCCATGAGGTGGGGTAAAGTTTGTTTGTCATTACAAATTCATAAAAAATATCTAAGATTAAAGAGCTCCACGGGTGGGCAACATGGCTCCTCTTAGTCCTGAAAGGCTATGGATCAATTAGTCTGCCGTTCTGCCGCTCTGCTGCTCCATTGCGTGATGGTGAACACATTTGCGTGATGGTCCACATTTCGTAGAAATATCTTATCCCTCGGACACACAAGTTCGTGATATTTTTCCTCACCGCCGAGCTCTTGGTAATTTATATAAAAATAGTTTATATAAATGTATTGTAAATACGTAAATTGTTTTATAAAAATTAACGAATTATGTGATTTATATAAAATGTGTTAACAATTTATAATAAAGAACATTGCTTTGCTCCACAAAAAGGTACATCTAAACGCACAATAAATTGTTAATATTATGACAAATACTAAATGGGAGCTAGGGTAAAAAATTAAATTTATTACGTAGGTACTTACACTTACATATTCCTTAAAATAAAACAAAACTTGCACTATAAACAATTAAAAAGCGCTATTAAAATTTGAGAAATTTAAGTTACTTTATGTCGTAAATATAAACACCGCCACATGCGTCTATTATGTTTGTTTAGAGTGCACGTTGGGGGAGGGCGGGATACACGGGGTCAATATACAGAGTTGCTCTGTCACAGACGACGTAGGAACCTTACGCTGCGCTGCTGTCCGATTTACATTCTTACGAATTGTGTATCATTTAGCCTTAGGTTCACGTTCTACGTTACTACTACAATCACAGAATGTGCTAGTCTGTTAGTAATGCGTTTTGACGAATGGTTTATCAAAAAAACAGAATTTTATAATTATTTTTACCGCCTTCATAAAAATAGGCGTTGGCGATTTCACTGTATTTTTATTAATAAATATGTAACATGATATCTGGAAGTATATTCAACCGATTTAGCCGTTTTTTAACCGACTTCAAAAAGGAGGAGGTTCTTAATTCGAGTGTGTTTTTTTGTATGTATGTTACGCGATATCTGCGCAGATTGTGATCCCAATTTGATGATTTTTTTTAAAATTAAATGGGTTATAATATACTTCATGTGTAATGTCGAAAAAACAGCTTTTTACTATACGCATATGAAAGTATATACGGTACTTATAACAAAAACACGATTTTTAAAATGTTTGTCTGTCTGTTTGTTCCGGCTAATCTCCGAAACGGCTTTTGACCGGATTTTCACTGGCAAGATAGCTGATGTTATAAGAAGTAACTTAGACTACTTTTATTTTAGGAAAAGAATTAGGGTGCCGCGCAAAAAATTAAAACCCAGAAATGCAGTCGAAAGAAATTACGCGCGGGCGAAGTCCCGGGGAACAGCTAGTATGGCGTATAAATTTGGAGAAAAAATTTCACTCCTAAGGGTAGCAAATAAATAACTTATTTTTTAGAAATTTGAAAAGTTATAATTACTATACACCCACAGTGTATACTTTTACACAAAGGTACATAAAATTTAACCAGATGGTTTATATTTCTTTAATTTCTTCATACGCTACATTGTAAATGCTTGTTTTTGTAATAAGATAAGCTGGACACTACGTAGGTACTCAAAAGCTGTGATATTTCAATAAATTAATTAACTTCAGATATTTAATTGACGTTTAATAATTATTTACTACCATTAAAATTAAATAACATTAAAATATTTCTATAGAATGTCGTAAAATATAAAGTTGCATATGATCTTGTTCTTTTTTTTTAAATCAACTAAACTAGAAGTAGATACTTTTTGCATTAATTTATGAAAATCTTTTCAAGAAACAAAAAAAAAAAACTATGCTATGCATTCACGTGATAGAGCCAAGCTGCAGCTATATTATAGCTTCCGCACGAAGCGCTCGTCTCGATCGGGGAAAGACCACGCTCTCACAGAGTACTAACGTCAAGTAGCAATAGTAAAATTTCGAGGCATTCCATCTCATTCCTCACGAAAGCAAACACATCCATTTTCAACTTATTCTTAATAGAGGATACGTATCTATCTACATCTCTAGATGTCTATAGTTCACATCAATCTCTTATTTGTCACACTTATTTGTATAAAGAAACACGCTAAGAAAAAAGTGCGCAAATACTATTAAAACAAATCTGTGTGCTTTGGCCGGGTACACATTTGATAATCTTGTATCGTATCTCCGTTTCGTGGCACAGATGTGTATCGTGATTGTTAGTTTGGACGCAAAATTATACACGATTATGGAATACGCCGTTTGTGATACCATAATACGTCTCGTTGTGTAAAAATCTACCAAACGACGTATATCACATA